ACCGCTGGTGTAAACAATACCCGCTGGTCTGCAGGTAACAAAGGCTGCACAGAGATAACACCCCCTTCGGCTGCCTTTCTTATGGGCCTCGTAATCTCGTCTCTAGCACCATACTCTTCATGACTGTCTCATCCACATATTACCTTTAGAAACCTTTCTTGGAGCCTTATGCACGTTGAGAAAGTGCTCAGACACCCCTGCTCCCGGTTACTTAGTAACTGCTCTACTCACAACCCCAACCCAGGCTCCTCATCCTAATCCCTAGGTCTCACTCCTGGCATCCTGGGCTCTGCCATCTAGGAAGGGCTTCAGACAGCCACAGCCAAGAGCAAGGGTGGAATGGGGCCAGAGGGGCCTCTTCATCTCTCAAATCCCAACAGCTCAGTAATTTTACCTGTGATCTGCCCCTACGCCAAGGGAGCACATTAGCACACACACCCCTGGAAAGACCACTGAAAGCTTTCCCTAGGCACTGTGGACCTAAAAGCCTCGGGCCAGAAAGATGCGGTATGGCCTGCTGGTTTGGAAGTGTACTGGGGAAGAGGGCAGAACCTCTTCTCCAATACATTCCTAAGCATTGCAGCTTCCACGTATCTCACCTGGGAACTGGTGGATCCTGAAGTAACTCTGCCTGAGAGTATTTGGAGCCCACCCAATCTTAATTTCAAAATTCAGATAGATAATATTCAAACACTAGGTGCCTTCCAAGTGCTGCATGTCCACTGAGTCATTCCCTCAGCATCCTGAAGGGCGCCACTACAGGGCCACCTCACACGCCAGGGACTGAGGCTAAAAGGTAGGCTGGGTGGCTTCTCTGGGACGCAGCTGTGAGTGGCAGAGGCAGGTTTTGAGGCCAAGCTCCCTAAATCAGTGCCTTACCCTCCTCAGGGAGCCTGGGTGTTTTCAATCAAAAGTAGATCTCTTTGCCTGCAGGAACCATGATGCCTAAATTTATTATTTATTATTTAACTTTGGACTAGTTGCTGCTTTTGGATTCAACCAATTAGAAAATTCTTCCTAGGTTGAGACTTCTGTTCTCTAACCAGTTCCTCTTCTTGTGTCTTCCTGTGTCAGGTGTATAACATGTATATTTTATACACATGCTCCACATGCATACTGTGTCTGTATGAAGAAGCACAAATGACGAGTGGGTGGTGTGCACTTGTAAAGCCAGGTTACTCAGGAGGCTGAGGCAGAAGGATCATAATCTTAATTTATGCAACTCAGACCCTGCCTCAAGATAAAAAAAAAAATTAAAAGGGCTGGGGCTATAGCTCGGTAATAAAATATATATATATATATATATATATATATATATATATATATACATATATGTATATATATATATATATGTATCACAAGTTGAGGCAGAAAGATAGCTACAAGTTCAAGACCAGCCTGGTCTACATAGTGAGACCCTGTCTCAAAAATGAAAAAGAAAGAAAGAAATCGTATGCCTGCATTCCTAAAGCAAAACATTTTGATTAATGAGTATATGACAAAAATGACAAATAGCTTTAAGAATTAAAGAATAAACACAGAAAGAATTTCCCTCTAAGCTCAACAAACTCAAAAATCTCCACAACTACAAACACGAGTACTCAAATAAATAAAATATAGCAAACAAATGAAAAGAATAAACATAGGGCATGTGACCTAAGTGCATTTGCCATTGCTGGAAGCTGAGCTACAGACTGATACTATATATTGATGCACACAGCAATTTTAATGGTGGTTCACTACCTAGGACATTGGGCCATGTTGTACAATGGACAGTGGCACTGCTGAACATTTCCCTTGGCTGAAATTGACCACTGTAGAAGCTGTCGTTAATAGGATAAAATCAGACATCGATGGGCATTTGCCCTGCAGTGAACATTAGCAACAAGGGATGCCGAGCACGGACAGGCAAGGCCACATTAGCCTACAATGACCTTTGCCATCAATTGGGACAGGGAGATTATTGCACTTGGAGGACTCTGATCTACCGTTCACCTAGAGGACTGATTTACAAACAGATCTTCTGTCATCCCGACCAGTACTGTCTAGGCATTGGCCTCTTCCTTCTCTGGACATTAGATGATCAAAGCCCAGCAGGTTGCCTTCAGAGAGAGTGGGAACTCAGAAGGATCCCATACTTGGTTTCATACTGTGTCCTTGTTAACTTGAAATTCATAGTAATCTTTCAAGAGGGGAGCCCACTTGTTTATTTTATACAGGATTCCAGTTCTGAAGCACAGAACTCTGGCCACCCACCATGGCACCCACGGCTGCTTCTCTCTGGGTCAGAGGCTCCTCACTGTTGAAAAGGGGCCAGGAGAGGAAAGACTCTAATTGACCTTAGGTTTCTTCTGCTCTAGAATCTAGAATGAATTGGTTTGACCGGAGGTATTTAGAGCTGTGTAACATCCAAATTTATTTGCAACACAGAAACACAGGGAATCCCAATGCCTTTTGGTTTCTCAGAGCACCCTACCCTCTATGAAGTAGGGCAGGCAAGGCAGAGGGAATGGACATCTGACAGATGAAGTCTGTCCCAGGCCAGTTTCCTCATCGGTATGGTGACAAAGAAAAAAAAAAAAAGGAATACTTGATGCAGTTGTGAGAACAGAAAGGGCTCTTCTGGGGCATCTATTATGTGCCAACCACATACTTAATTTATTTGCAAATGTTACTTCATTTCCCCTTCCGATGAGTGAAGATGTTTTCATCCCCGTTTTACAGGCTCAGAGAAGTAATAAGATTTGGCCAAATTCACACAACTAGCTTGTGATGGACTCAAGATTTTAATCCTCCTACAACTTCAAAACAAATCTTTGCATCACCCACTGCGATCCCTTAAAATTCTAATAACCTTCAACATACTTGAAGGTATGGACAGCTATTTTGGAAGACAATGACAGACACTATGGCAGCCATTGTTGACTTCCTTATTGTCTGGTCTTGAAGACCTAAAATGCCTTCATCATCCTGTTCTGATCAGTTCTATACTATTTTGTTTTGTATGAATTCATTGTATGGAGATCTATTTGGAAGAAACAAGGAGACAATATGATAGACAGTGAAGATCTCTGGTTGTCGTGCTTTGAAATCTGTGTCTCTTACATTGTTATCTTATGATCTGTTTTAATTTTATCCTCTTTAAAAAAAAATAAGTACACATATTGTGTGTCAAATAAAATATTTTTAAATTTTTTTAAAAAAAGATTCTAACGCGGTGAGCCAGGTGCCAGGATTCCTGGAGGGGTGAGGCCAAAGGGGTGCGGTCTGGCTGCAGTGGAGGAGAGACTAGAAAACCACAGAGCTGCTCTTTGCCTCCAGCTGTCCCAAATTCTGCTCAGCTTGCCTTTATCCGGGGGCGTTGTATGGCGTTGCGTGACCACGCGGTGGCGCTGCAGAGACACAGACGCCCGGTTCCGGGAAGTTGGGTGCCTGAGGCTGGAGGCCAGAGCTGGGAGGCAGTGAAACTGTGATACCCCATCCTGATGAACTTTCAGTGGAGTAATGTCCATGCCCTCCCTCTGCTGAGAGCTTCACCCCTGCCGTGTTTTGCAGATACAAGTTGCACAAGTCCCTCTCTAGCCTTCAGTCTACCGGGTGCCTTGTTAAACTTCAGTAATTCTTGTACCATGGCTCTACCCCAAGGACTTCCTCCTCAAGGGTGGCTTTGGGAGGACCCAGGTACTTTCCGTGTAAGCACCCTGATCACCCTGCTCCCTCTCTTGAGGCCGGGGGAGGATGGTGGCCAGTATGGCCATGCCCTCTTCCCCACCTGCAAAAGCATGTTTAACTGTGAGGCCTGGGGTCTCCCTCTGACCTCCCCACCCCAGCAATTCCACAGCTCCTTCCTGCACTGCAGGTGGGTGTCACCTGGGCCCAGGACTGTGGCTGGCATGGGGGACCTGAGTCACAAGGTGTCTCCCAGGTGCCTGCCTCTCACCCTCGTCCACCTGTCTCCAGTCACGTGGATTCTCCAAGGGCAGCACGGCCATGCTGCTCTTACAGCCCGAGGCCTCCCGTGTGTCCCTCCCTGTCCCACACCAGGAATGAGAGCACTCTAGAGTACACGGGAAACAGGAAGATTTATGTTGCCTCCCAGTCCAGGGTCTGGCAGAGTATTTAGTGTGATCTAAAACTACAGTGAAAGTTTGAAATTTCTTTAAATTCTTACAAGAGACATTGCCACGAATCCCTCTCAAAATACTCCCTTTGCTTCAAGCCCCTTATCCCGTCCTTCTCACCACTTTGCGAAGCAGTTCTGAAGTCTTTACTTTCTTAGCTGTGCTGTCATCAGGCCTCTCTCAATGCCCTGAATCGATTCAAAACCTTTACCGTTCCACACAGCCACTCTGACTTTGTGGAAGAACCAGCAGTAGCAGGACCAGGGCAGGTGACAAGGGGGATGAAAACACTCCGTGTTTTTCCGAGCCTGCCGTTCTGCTGGATGACACTAAGCAGCGGCACTCACTGTATTTTTGCTCACACCTCATAAACACACCCACTAAAGAGGACTTCCAGAGCTGCTTCAGAAAGTGGCCAGAACGCTCGGGCAAGTGTGTTCAACGAAGAGGGGGAGTGTGTTGAGGGTAATCAACGGCAATGTATCCTTTACTGGAACAAATTTTTAAAAGTCAAACATTCATTGTACATTCTGATCGCATCTCATTGCTGTCAGTGACAGCTTGGTGTTCTGGATATTCCTGTAGACTTTCAGCAGTTAGAACTGCCCACAGCAAAGGCATCTAAATGAACTAGAAGGGAGCTCCCTGTCACTAAAGTGTACAAACAGGTGTTAGGGGACCAAAACAGCTTACACACTAAGGATGAATAAAGTCTTGTACATCTAAGCAACTCCCTCCTTCATGTAACCCTACTCCTCATGTCCTGGGGGATTACGGGGCTTTGCAGGCCAAACAATACCCAGGCCCTAACCTAATTCATCCTTGTAGGCCCAGAGCCCAGTCTAGGTCTTGTCAACAGATGCTGCTTGAACGATGGAGAAAAGTCTTTATAGCATTTATTAAAACAAGGACCATCAGGTTGGGCTGGTGGAGAAAGAGCTCGGGCTGTCTGTGGGTATGTCTGTGGGACCAGCCTGATGCCCACATAACCACAGGTGGCTGGCTTCCACCCAAGGCCAATACATGTCCAGAACACAGTATTATAAAAGTGAACAAATGCAGCTCTTCCTGTTTTATAAATGATATTTCCATTCCCTGCCAGCAGAGGTAGCGGGGTGGGGACTGAAAGCAACAATTCATTTAAAAAGGCAACAATTCTTTATAAAATGAACACAAAGGAAAAATCCAGGGTTAGGAAGCTGAGATGTTACCCTGGGGTAGAGCAGAAATGTGGGGGAGACAGACCCTGCCGATGCGGGTGAGGGGAACTCAAGGGCTCTGCTGGGCTCAGGCCTATGGGGACCAAGTCAAGGTGGTGCCTTGGAGCCCATGACTGGATGGCACTCTAGCACAGCATCAGCTCTGTAGGGGAGCATCCCCAGGGAAATAGGCATCTTTCCAGCCTTGATTCTTGGAGACCTCACCTCCAAGGAGAAAGTATCGGTCGTCATGCCCCAAGCTCTCAGGGCTCCAAAAGGTGAACTGACCTTGCTCGTGCCACACAGCTGGCAGTGGGCCCATGCTCCCACCTCTGAGGCCCTTAATCTGTCTTGTTCCTGCTGCTGAGATGCCAGCAACAGCAAGGGGAGGCCCAGGAAAGGGATGATTTAGAGAAGACAGGAAGTGCAGGGGGCCCAGGCAGGAGGCAGGAAGCTGGGTTCTGGCCAAGCTTCCACCCAGGGGAACCTTAGGTTAGTCTCCTTCTCTACACCTCATTTTCCCATCTGTCCCATAACGAGGTGGACTTAGTTTTCTCTTTAGTCCCTTCAACAATTAAAGTTCTACCTAGGGCTCCAAAGCAAAGGGAAGTTGTAAAAGGGTCTGCTGCCCCTATGAGACCAGACCATGGGTCAAGGGGACACTCAGCCCACTGGACCTGAGTTTGCCCTGCAGTGGTGGCTCCCACCCACCCTCCTCCAGCCATGGGTCAGGTCAGCCCAGGCAAGAGGGAAGGCACTTGAGGGACAAGTGAAAAGTGGCAGCAGATAGGAACCAGCATCTGGCTTGACACTGATGTCCCTCTGCTTATGGATTGCAGGGGCAATGGAGACAAAGGGACAGGCTTTATTCCTAGGTGTCGGCCCAGACACAAAGCCCTGGGTAGGCCCACAGCTCCACAGTGATGCCAACACATAGGCCTACAGACTCCCTGCTGGCATTGGCACATTACAACATAAGTTATGTGGGACCTGAGTGAGCCCAGGGCAGCAGTCTGTCATGTAGCCCTGGGCCTTATCATTCGTCACAAAATGTCTGAGGCCCTGGCAACAGATTCCTGGGTGTCTCCACAGTGCAGGGCCACCTTGGAGCTGGAGCCAGGCCGTCGAGGATAGGCACCCTCCCGCACCAGGCGCCGGCACTGTGTGCCTTGTCCCACGCTGACACTCTGCAGTGCCGGGAGGTGATGCAACAGCACCTCAGGTAGGGGCACCAGTCCTGTGCCTGACAGGTCCAGCTCCTGCAGTGAGCCCAGGCCAGAAAACACCTCAGTTCCTGCCCACTTAAGTTTGGGGTTGCCCGACAGGTCCAGGACCTGCAAGCCAGGCAGCTGACGGAAGCCATGGGGTGCCAGCTGGGGCAAACCTTGTAGGCTGGCCAGTGACAGATGGGTAAGGCCTGCCAGCCCCGTGAAGGCACCAGGGCCAATGGCTGCCAGGGGGTTCCCATCCAGGCTCAGGTAGCGCAGGGGCAGGTCTCGAAGATCGGGCACAGCACGAAGGCGGTTCCAGGCCAGGTTCAGACTCTGAATGGTGGGTGTGGGCAGACCAGCTCCTGAGGACTGGGGGACCAGGCGATGAATGAGGTTATGAGAGAGGTCCACGTGCAGTGGCCGGGCCTGGTTGTGGGTGGTGAAGGCAGACACAGAGACCTCCTGGAGCCGGTTGTGGCTGAGGTTCACGTCACTCAGTGGGGAGCTGGTGAAGCTCTTGGCTGGCAGGGCTGTCAGGCCATTGTGACTTAGGTCCAGGGACTCCAGGTAGCGAAGCCGGGAGAAGGCAGTGGGCGAGATGCTGGTGAGTAAGTTGTGGCTGAGATCCAGGCCAGCCAGTGTGGTGTAGCCAGGCCCTGCCAACACTGACTCGTTTACTGTCTCCAGCTGGTTGGAAGACAAATCAAGATGCGCTGTGTCCAGGGGGATGGGCACAGGCACAATGTGGGGGCCCAGGCCACTGCAGTCCACTCGGGTCAGGCTGAAACTGTCAAAGAGGCCAAAGGTCTCCACCTCACACTGGCAACCAGGGAAGCATGGCTGGGTCATCTGCATTCCACTCACGGCCAGCAAGAGCAGCGGGAGCAGCAGCAGGGTCCACAGCATGGTGGGGGCTGGAGAGAGAGCCACACACACAGTGAGCGCTGGACACATCACAAAGCCACCCCCACGCGACCTAAGCCAGTGGGTGTGGATGCAGCCACCATTCCCCTGGAATACCCTTCTGGAGTACTCTTTATGATCCCTACTCCATGTTCCTCTCTGACCTGTTTCCCCATTAGTATGGAAAGGGGTTCTGCCAGGTTTGTGGATTTTTAACAGGACACAGCAGTTTACTCCATAAATAAAGATAGCAGGTGCAAGATGCACACAAGCCTGCTCTGGCTCATGTGAAAGCCCCTGAAACCTTTCTTGCCTGTGCTCCAAGGCTCTGGGGCAATGAGAAGCCTGCCTCTCCAGTTCAGATGGCTTAGGGCCCACGGGCTGGTGTGGACCTAGTCCCTGCCGGGGAAGGGCTCACAGTGAACAGCTGTCTGACTGTCTCTCACAACCACCCTTCAAGGCAGAAATTAAATCTTCATTTCACCAAGTGGGAACAGCTGAGCCCAAGAGATGTTAAGAAACACATCCACAGCCGCTCAGCTAAGTGTTGTAGCACTGGCGAGGGTGCACACGTAGGCAGCAAGGCCTCATGCCCAGGTAGTGGCCTCCCACTTCTGAGACCAACGTGCTGCTCCCTGCAATGACAGAACTCAGCTCACCCCAGCTCTGTGTCTAGATTTCCAGTTGGGCTCATTGCAAACCCCTGCCCTCTTGTACTGCCTCCAGATAACAGAATTCTCACATCTCTGTGACCCTTCTGTTAACCTTGGGGCAGGCGTGGGGGCTGGTTCCTCCACTAAACAGATGAAGAACAGAAACTCAGAGAAGACCCAAACAAATGCAAAGCAGGATTAGAACCTAGGTCTGTCAGATTCCAGTTCTTCTATTTAAATGCACTGCCTCCAACAGGCCTGGAGGTGAGCTGGTGGGGAAGCAGAATCCAGAAAGAGCTTCTCCCAGAGACTTGTCAAATGCAAGCTACTTCCTCTCTCCAGCCCTGTTTCCCTCTGTGTATAACTGCAACAGTAGCTGCCATACATGCCAGGCATTGTGTGTACCTTATCACTTCTAATGATCATATGCCCCTAAATCAATCAGACTCAGAGCCTGTGTTAATGCTCACTGTGACTCCCAAGCTATTGGGGCTCAGCAGCACAGGCTTGGGAACCAGATCATTACACAGCAAGAGCCCCTAAATGACATCTTAGGGTCTGAGGTTACCCCTCCTTGCACAGCAGTCACTCAGCTGGGCGTTGGGCGACACATCTTCACGTGGGCGGCCCTGTCCTCTTGCCTTATCTCTTCCTTCCCACTGGTCTTCAGGGAAGGGAGTAGAGGTGGAGGCTAGGGAGAGTGGGGGGACCTGCCCACCTTCTAGACTGGGAGGATTAGGGAGAGTGCCTCTGGATTGCATTACGGCCCGCATGAAACTTTAAAGATGCAGTCACTTGATCTGTATGCTGCCTCTGCCCAGGGCCTGGGACAAATGAGGTTCCCCTGACCCCCTCCCCAAGGGGCCCCTCCTTTCCCAGCCTTTTCTTTTGTAGAGGCCAATTTGAGGATTAAAGTCAGCCCAGGTGCATCCTGGGCTTGATCCCAGCTGAGGCAGGACAGAGTGTTCCAATGTCTGGAGCCAAAGGAAAATATTAAGTTGCTTCAGGCCCCCTTTGTTCCCTGGGGTGAGCTCCTTGCAGAGTTCATTACCACCACTGCCTCCCCTACCAAGCCAATCTGCTCATACCCACCTTTCTTGGGGTTTAAACAAACACCACAGTTCAGAGCTCTGAGATTACCATTTGGTTTCCCAGAGGTGATTATACAATGTGCCCATGAAAGGCCAAGTGGCTTTCTCATGAGCTCCTGCTTATGTAACCAGCAGCCCAAACCCAACCCCAACACTGCCTCTAAAGCCTCTTGTCCTCAGTTCCCTACAGCAGCAATGGCTGCCCTGCATGTCTCACAGCAGTGACAACCCTCACAGGCCACACCGTGGACTATGACAGACTGTACTTACGCAGAGAAGTCTTCCCCACACACCTGGAACTCGGGCCAGAGTCATAACAGCTGATGCAAGGGGGCAGGAGTGTAGCTGAAGGCACCACTGGCTCCCATAACAAGGCTGGTGGAATGCTCCTAAGGTCATTACTCCGTGTCAGGTTTGTTGCCCACAGCTGGGCATTTGCAGAGTCCACAGTGACAGAGCCAGTTGCCACTTTATATACTAGTGTTTGACATACCATCTCTTATCTGATCCTCACGGTTCACAAATGAGGCCAGAAGCATAACCCTCTCTTATAGTAGAGGATAAAAAAAGTCACTTGCTAAGCTGCACGATATTGGAAAGTTATGGAGAGAGAGGATGAGCAGCCCCTTAGGGGACATGCCCAGCAAGACCAGGACTAACAGATACAGTTTCGGGCTATCTCTCCCCGAGGCTGTACTCCAGATGAAGTCCTCCAGATGGGAACCCAAGGATATACATGTTTACCACATTCCAGAAGGATGACCTGGAGACAGGTAACAAGTTCCAAAGGACAGTCAGTTGTGCTGGTTCTTAACCCCTGCTGCCCCAGGTTGCTCCCATCATTGGTCATGTCCTATCCCTTCTATAAGCTTCAGGAGTCTCAAAACTTTAACATTTAACAAAAGCATTTATTAAATTTCTATAAAATACAAAGTCTGGGGCCAGGCTATTTAGGAATATAGGTAGGACTCAGGACAACAGGGGTTTGACCTCACAGGGCTTACAGACCAGCAAAAGGGACAAAAACCCACTCATTGCAAGATCACTAATGCCATCCCTGGACCCAGAACACATGGATCTGTGCGACCTTCAGTTTTCTTTATGTCTCTGAGTCTTGGCTTTCCCATCTGTACAGCAGTATTAATATTTCTCACCCTGAAACCAGACCTTTCCCCTCAGAATGAAGGGAAAGACAGACTAGCGGTCACCAAAAAAGGCAGGAGAGAAGGGTATTTCAGTCAAGATTCATCCCCTGAACTGCAGATAAAACAAATCTACTCATCGACCAGATTACAGAACAGACAGGCATGAGGAAAAGGGCTTAAAACTGAGCCTGCCTGGAGCCTCGAGCACACCCATTTCCCCACTGGAGAGACACACTGGAAAGTCCTGCAGGGACAAAGGCATGAGTTATTCAGTTGGGCTCACAGCGCCAAGTTCACACTGATTCTGAGGCAAGTTTGCTGATGGACCACGAGAACAACAGTAAACTATGACCTTAACAGTTCCAAAAGTTCTCCCCATGTGACACCCAGGCCCTGTTGAGAGATACCTGTCTCAGACGGCTCTAACCACATCTGCTGCCCTCTCAGGTGCTACTATTACCCACAGAAATCAAATCCTCCCAGCCAGAGGCATCTGCAAGTTCGCTCCATCTTGCCCTGTATCTGGATTTGAACCCTGATTTGGAGTCAGGGTGGCAAGAGCTATCACTTTGGTGATCGACTCTGAACAGCTTTCAGTCTTTAATCACACTTGTCCAAACTCAAGAGAATCTCAGGGTTTGGGAGCCAGGGGCCTCTTAGAAATCAATGGTGACTGAAACTCAGAGAGGACCAGGGATTCCAGGGAATAGCAGAGCTAGGGCCCAGGGGCTAGGTAAGGACCTGATACCTCACACTGCTGCAGGCACCACACATCCACCCTCCTGGCCTGGCCTTGCCAGTGGAACAAAGCCTGCTCTGTCCACACTGGCTCCCTCCCAGCAACCCCTCCCACCAGGCCTCTCACTACGGGCCATCAGTAGACCTCCTTCAGAGACAAATTCCCTGCTGCCCCAGTATGTTCAACAGAGAAGACTTGGAAAGGGAGCAGCTTAAGGCACAGCCTGGCCTTCTTCACCTAAGCACCTGGGCCAGAGCAGACCAGGCACAAACAGAGAGGTGGATGATCCGAGAGTCCAGTGAGGAAGCTATGAAGCATGACTGCCTGGTCCCAGATCCAGATGTGAATCCAGTTCCACCTACCAGCCCCAGGCAAGGCTCAACCTAGTGAGTCCCAGTGCCCTCAACAGAGATAACAGCAGAGGACAGTGCCAGAATGTGAAGCATTCTGTTCAATACTGCCCATGGAAGTGCCTAATGCCTGGCAGACACTGATGGGAGCATCTTTGGAGGCTTCCTGAAGGCAATGATGGTGTATTCTTCACGGCCTTCCCCATGCAGTGCCTGTGCCCAGTGGGCCCACAGCTTGCTGTGCTAACTCCTCCAACCCTGCTGCTGGTGTCTATCAACAAGGCCTCAGCCTCCCCCCCCTGAGGGCAGGGGACAGGTTATAGCTAGGGCCCTCTTCACCCCAAGTGCCTGCCCCAGTGCCACACAATGGCTGCTCGGGTCCATAGAATTTTCCACCTCCTGCCCCAACAATTTCAACAGGGTGCCCCTGGCACATGAATCAGGTGGGCAGGGGGCCAAGTCATAGCCTGGCCCAGGGCCCAGCACCCACCTAAGCTGGGCCTTTGCCTCGACCAGCAGCTTTCCTCTTCCTGTCCTTTCACTGCTCCCTTAGTCATGAAGGAGCTGACACCAGTGAAATCCCCCAGGTGGAAATTTTGCAAGGGTCCTGACCTCCATCTACTTACTCAGCTCTGGAAAAGCAAGACTGAAAAACTTTCAGAGCCAAAGTCTATTAGGGCCAGCTGTCCCTACAGAATCACTAATACTGCACATCTATGCAAGCCTGCAGCTCACTTAGCCTTCACCATCATCCCTGTTCTGCCTTATCTCAGTCCTGACTGTGGAGAACACAGGCAAGCAACTGAGTGACATTCACCTGGACAGCAGGGAAAGCAGGACTCAGACCCAGACAGCTCAGCTCCACATGCAGGGCTCCATATGCCACACCACCTCGTTTTACAAATGGGCATGCATGGACAAAAGCTTAGCACTAATGGGGTTAGACTGTAATTACACGTTTACCTGTCTGTTCTGTGACCAGGGAGCTGAGCACTGGGCCTGGCACACACCAGGTTTCAATGAAGCTTCTACATATCTAGAAAATGATTCTATTACCAAAAATCACCTCTCAACTTTTCCCCCAACTACTGCCTCAACTATTACCTCTTCAGTCATTCTGCAAGATCATGTCAGATGGCACTGTTGTGCTCAGGTAGGGCCGGAAAGCCCAGTACCCTCATCAGTGGGTGGCGGTGGTCCTGGTACTGCTTTCTCCTTCCAATATGCCTTCTTCCTGGAGATTTTCAAGTTCCTGTAGTTTTCAGCCAACATCTGCACGCACAGGGAAAGGTTCTACAGCTCAGCAGACTGGGCCCCACCCTGCAGGCCTTTATCTACTTTGAGGCTCAGTGTGTCCTCATTCCAGTTTAGAGTTTAAGGATTTACCTGTACTGTGGTGAGAGACCTAGTACTGTGCCAGTGGGCCACTGTGATGATTAGTCAGGGAAAGTAAAGACTCAGCCCAGGTGGCACCAACTGGTGCTCGACACATGTTGATTCTCACTCTCTAATGGGTGACTGTAGGGGTCAGGGAAGAGAAAGAGCTTTGACTTCAGTGAAGCCTATGCAAAGCAGGGCACAGGATGGAGACGAATCCGAATTCCGTTTCCTGAGGCCTTGGATTCTGTCTCAGAGCACCAACTAGACTTTACTAGGGAACTGGTAAGGGAGAGCTGGAAGAGTCACAGAGGCCAAAGTGGGTAGAAGCAGTTGAGTTGCCTGTGACAGAATCAGGACTTGCTGTTAGGTCAGCAGCCAACCTTGGGTGGGTAGATCACTGTCTTCCGTCTTTCTTACCTCCAGACTGGGCACACCCTCAACCTGCCCAGTCCAGGGCTTACTACAACAGCCTAGCGCAGGCTATGCTGCCTCCAATGCCAGTCATGCTGGGCACCAGAGTGCAGCTTTCACTCTGTTTAAAACCCTCTTCACAAAGAACAGCTTTCTAGCTAGAGGCCCTTCACTCCCCTAGGACCTCCTGCCTTTTCATTGGCTGTTCCTTCTGACAATGACAACAAAGGTACCCTACTGCTCTTACTTGCCTGATTTAAAAGCTCCCTCCTCTGTGAGGCATTCCCAGGCTAATCTGCCCCTCATTCACAAAAGTGTCACCTCTTTCTGGGCTCCCATGGCTCCTGGCCTATGGCTGTGTATAAAAATCTACATCCAGCTCTGCTGCCACATGAAGCCCGGCCACCCGAAGGGGGAAAACCATATGAAGGAAATGTCAGGGGAGCAAACTTCCTTCCACTTGGGGATGCTTGCAAAATATTTAGGGCCTTGCCAATCAGAGTAATCAGGTTTGGACCCATGGTAAAACTGGAGTTGAACTGAAGGCTGAGGATTACCACGAGCTAAGATTTGAACTCAGGTACCTCTCTTGTGAATATGACCCAGCATATGTCTGTATACTGTAATCCATGTTCCAAACCTCTTATCTTATTAGCACATGTAAATCATTATTCTATTAAATGTATACAACAGATCTCAGGACATGAATTAATGCCCTCCTCTGAAGGATGAGGAGCCTAAGAATCAAACCAGTGAATTATCCCAAGCCACAGAGCTAGGAAGCAATGGAGTGGGTGGAAAACCTGAATCTTCTGCCTCTGGAATACTGTCTCCAGATTGGTCTCAGCCTCCCGCAGCACCCATAGCCCAGAGGGTTTTGTAGAAGTGCCAATCCCACCCAGTTGTGCCTGTAGACCCTCCTACAAGTCTCCAATGCCTAAGATTCAAATATCAGGTCTTAGCAATCATCAGTAATTTGGCCTCTGCCTTGCCTCCAGTCTCCAGTTCAACTCCAATTCCCCAGGCCAGGACCTTACATCCGACAGCACACAGTATTGACCTCCTCTGGACTGTTTCCAGAGCACATAGAGAGTCTTGCACATGCTGTCCCCTTTGTGGTCACCCCTTCCCGCCGCCTTTGTGCATTCAATGACTTCAAAACCCTGAGCAGTTAGGTACTATGGTGTATGCCTATAATCCCAGTAACTTCAATTCCAGCTCCACCTAGGGCTGAGGTAGGAGGATGATAAATTTGAGGCTAGCCTGGGAAACTTAAGACACTATATCAAGGGGGAGAGGGGGTAGGGCTTACAGTGCAACTAGGTTGTAGACTGCTTGCCTAGTATGTGTCAAATGTGTGAGGCTCTGGATTTCACTCCTAGTACAAAAAAAAAAAAAAAAAAAATAGCAGATGAACAGTCATCTGCTCTATTGGGTCCCTGGCCCAGGTTTTTCCCATACAACCTGTCTTTAAAGTTTCTTTGGTAGGAGACTTTCAGGGAGTACCCAGCCCTTCTTAGAAAGTGTCTTCACAGCCCAGCCTTGCTCTAAGAAATGATGTGAACTCTTTTTACTCTCAGTGCTGGGGAATGTCTGGGATCACAGGGCTGTGAGCCACCACTGTGTCTAGCAGGACAAGTGAGTTCTTAAATGTATCACCCCTGCTTTGAACCAGGAGTTCAAATTAGGAAGAAAACTGATGATCTCTCCCCACTCATATAGAGTCATTTAAAAGATAGTTTAAAAAAAACTGTCAATTCCTTCTTTTCCTTCCATCTTTGAGTCCTCTGTATTTGCTTCTGCCCCAATGGAGAACAGTGGCAGAAGCTATGAGTTGCATTCCTGTCTCCTCCGCCCAAGGAGCAGTTGTTGCCCAGAAACTGGCCAAGTTAGAAAGGTGTATGTTACACAGCAAAGCACTTCCAGGTTCGGGGACCTCAGGCAGTCAGCCAGAAGCAAGGTGGGAGACAGGCTGTCCATACTGCCCCTTCCAGATGAGGAGCTTAGGCCCTGAGACCTAGGAAAGAGCCTGCATTCCCTGTCCCAGAGCAGTAGCCAGTGCCCTCCTGCTGATCTGCAGGACTGGGCCAACTTCCTCACTACAGACTGGGTTATCTATGCCACATAGGATAGAAAGCCCGTTGGGACTGAGCCCTCTGCCTCTCTGGCCAGTACCTGGGTTCTACAAGTCTAGTCTTATCCCTGGGGCACAACACAACTAGAAGTTTAAGTAACCTAGCCAGACGGAGTGTAAGCGGGCAGCGCTGGTTATTCCACCTGAAAGCTGGCTCAGGCGCAACCGCGACACCCTAGGGAGCCTAGTGCCTACAAGGGGCCACTGACTGTCCTATTCGAAAGGAGCGCTTGCATGGTTTCCTCTTCCCCAAACCGACTAGGTGTCCTGCGGGACGGCAAGCAGGCCTGATGCCAAAAGGTCGGTGGCTTCCCACCTACCGGATCGGAAGGCTGGTCCCCTCACCAGGGGTGAGCTGTAGACCGGGGGGGCTCCTGACGGGGATTAGGGCTGGAGCTGGTTTCTGGACCAGGCAGAAATCTCTCTCGATCACACGCACTCTCCTCTCAGGCCGCTTCCCCGCCTCCTCCCCGCAGAGGGAGTCCCGCACCGGTGTCCCGCTCGCTCCGCCCAGCCCGGGCCAGGGCTCGTCCCCGACGCCGCCGGTCCCCCACCCACCAATCCTCTCCCATCCTCTCTGCCGCCCACAGGACCTCCGGAGATGTGAGCGAGGGGGGCTGTCAGGACTCCCCAGCCCCGCCACCATTAGGGGGGCGGCCACGGGGAAGGCTCAGGCTGTTGCCCGAGGATTCAGGAGAAAAGTTTGAAGCCACGGGGTGGACGGTGGAGGAGCGCGGATCTGGGACGGCGTCCGGCCGCTAGCGCACACCGCTCCTCTGTCACCCACCCAGACACGTCGACAGCTCGGTCCACGTACGCAGACACGCGGCGATG